GACTTTTCATTGTGCCTATCATCTCCTCGCCTCGAACTGTCAGGTTGGTTTATCACCACACTTAAGCATCCCCTTGTTGTTTCTTACCCTTCTCATTCAAACATATTTGCTGTCATGACTCTCACTTCGTCGCCTCAAGGCTGACTGGATCTGTGTGCAAACAGACTCAATCGCTGTGGCTGCGGTTGGAGGTTTGGGGGGCTTCACTGTTCTCTCATGTTAACATTTTATCCGTGTGTCTGATGTTTGACTTTTAACATAACAATAAAAGCACATTAGTAGGTTCACTATTTTTCATACATATTTATACCTGTAGGCTTTTACAGAATATAACTGCTGCTGCTGGGAAGTGACAGTAATTTTCCTCTATGAGTTGAGATAATGAACAGATGTTGGCTTATATAGCTTCATCAACAACAAATAGCCAACATATGCACCAAACAAAGCAGAATTAGATTGTTGTTTTCAATTTGTGATGGTACACATTTTTTTCTTAAAAAATAGATACTTTGATCAGTAAACCTAATGGTCCTACAGTCAAGACAAAAAAATGATCTTGTATAAGATTGCGTGCAGGACTCTCTGTATGGCACTGCTGTTTGTAGTGTGGTGCTCCGACCAAAGCATATGTTTTAGCTTGCTGATGTTTACCCTGGGTTTAGCAGTTCACTAAATAAGATAATCCAGGATGATGCACCACGCTTTCAGTTGAATCCACTGCTCAACATTTGGAAGCCAGCTGAAAAACATGGTCCTGTGGAGTGCTCAGGGAACACACATTCTCATTACAGTAAATATCCACTGATAAACCTTTAGATTAAGAGACTTCACTTCATATAAAACATATTTTTTAAGTGTAGATAATTGGAATTGAATGAATGACTGTCATTCAGTATGAACATTTGGTTTAGGTGAAATTAACAGTAACAACAAAGCAGATCAGAAGGATTTTCACACCATTTTATTAGCAACAATGTGTTTCTTAGTTATACATTAGAAACAAGGACAGAAACATTTCTGCTGTACTGTACTGAGTCTGAAAAACCAGCTGGATCATAAAATAAAGCAAGTAATTCAAAGACTTTAGGGTAAAAGCAACACTGCATTTGAATAAACACTTGTAATAATAATAATAATAATAATTATAAATTTCTCTCATAATTCTTTATGGCACTACATTTCTTGTGCAACTGTCACATTTCTGTTTAAAAAGTAAGGAAAGCATATTGTAGCAGAACTGTGTGTGTGTGTGTGTGTGTGTGCGCGCGCGCTTATGTATCTCGTAATGTATTTGCAGGGAAGCACATGTCACAAGAGGAAAAACTTAAAACAAAACAAAACATCACTCACTGTTTCACCCTTTGGGAAAATAAATGAGCATGATTGCTAATAAAATCAACAGAGACAGAAAGATAGAAAGCGAGAGACAGAGAGAGGGAGAGAGAGTGGGGGGGTTAGAAGCATTTACCATCCATAGGGATAATCCAATCAGCGTCAAACCCGTCACACAATCACCAGCATTTCTTCTTTAAATCAAGCACTAAATCATTTCATTCATTAGATGTGTGTCCTGTGTCCATCCAGTCAGAATATCAGCCAAGCACAAAAATGTAAAACAATCCCAAGAAGGAACTCTCAGAGCAGGAGCAAATATTCCTCAGTCCAGCGAGTCGAGAGAAGAGAGAGAGAGACTGTGTATGTTATGGCCTGTTAAATATTTATAGATGTGCCTTTAAAGGTGAACTAACCTTTAGCCAATGAATCCATATATCATCATATCAGAGACAACACAAGGAATGTAGTGAAGAGCCCACAAAATGAAACCTCGGTGAAGAACTATAATGAATATCACATTATAACGTTAAGTGTTGCTGTAAAAACTTTTTGCTCCTCTGACTGCCACCACCAACTCGAGTCTGTGTTATAGCGTCGATCAGTAAAATAAACATTTACAAAATAGCTGCAAACCCACTAAAGAGTTTGTCACTTCATCTGGTTGGGTCATTCTTAGCTTTAACAGGAATTTAAAGGTAAAGTGGCATATGGAAACTAATACAATCCCTTCACCCTTTACAAGAAATGTTTAAAATGTTATTGCAACCCACTGCTGGGTTCAGTATACATACAGTTTCTATTCTTATGGAATAAGAATCCTGGTATAACGATTGATCAAGTTATACACACACACGCACACACATGCATGCAAGCACAGTCGTACGAATGCAGACAAATGCAATAACCCATCCCCCTTTGGCACCTAGTCCACCTTGCCTGCAAGAACACAGAGGTCTTTCTCTGCTGAAGTGTACTGTATATACACTTCGTCAGCAGACGCTCAGAGAAACCAGCCTCCCATCAAACCGGAGACCTCTATGAAAGGATGTGGAAAACAAGCAGGTATTTCCATCTTCTGTGAGCCCTTTATGTCTTAAAATATTATGGCCTAAGTTAAGTCTGTCTAAAATGTCTGTGGGTGGCAGCTAAATCACAACATCCCCTGTCCTCCGCTAGTCTTTCCACTGGTGGAGAGTGATCTTTTATAATCTATAATCTGTGGATGGAGGAACAGACAGATCATCCCATCATAGGAGGGGGAAACACTGGACTTCACCTAATCATATTTTGTTTGTAGCAGCTATGGCAAAGAGAAAATCCCTGTTGATTATGTCATTTTGACATGGCGGGAATCTGTTTATCTTTCAGGCCATGGGTCCAGAGGAAGTAGGGCTACACAAACTTTATGAAATGATAAAACAAAGTCCATTCTTATTGTTAAAAAAAGAACTAGTCAGAAGAAAAATCCTGTCCTGAGAGCCATCTGAGTCCTCCATTCTGCAAGAGGTGGCCAGTAGAACAAGACCATACTAGGTCAGACCATACTAGACTGGAATAAACTGGTCAAGATGACAAAAATACAGTCTGACTCAAGCCAGTCCAGCCTAGGCCATCACAATTCATTTAAGCATAAACTTACACCGAGGTCCGACCTCGCCCAGCTAAACATCAGTGCTGATGCTACAGCTGCGTGTGAACATGTCCCTCATGGTGACCGACCGGGAGAGGTTAGGTTTACGGTAGTTTGAAATGTTCACAGGCACTGGCAGGTCCAGATCCTGCTGCTGGACACTGCGGTAGCTGATCCGGTCACCTCCATTCCTCAACCCATCTGGTTGATGGTGAAGCTGTGGCTGAGGGGGCTGGAGGTAGAAAGGCAGCTCATAGTGAGTACAGGATGGACAGAAGGTCTGTGAGCGTGTCAGTTTCCTGGCCAGCGGAGGGGTGGAGAAAAGGGCGGGGCCATTTGGGATGGAGGAGGCGGCGGCCGTTGCCGCCACAATGTTGTGATTGGAGTGGACCGGTGGGAGGCGGGATGTAACAGCAAAGTCCGGCTCCTCCTCCTCCGACTCGGACTCTTCCTTCTTGCAGCAATAATACTGAAGGTGGGAAAGGAAGGAGGATGGGATATGGCGAGCAGAGATGAAAGAGGAAGAAGGGAGCAAGAGAGGGAGAGGCAGAGAGAATATTATTAGGGCAAAAAGGTACAGAATTATGTAAAATGCAAGAGAAATCAGAGAGAGGGAGGCGTAATAGAAAGTTAAAGAACAATAAAGAGATAAGAGAAAGGGGAGGACATTTATTATAGTGAAATGCCAATGTCTGCATGCTGTTAGCAGAAACAAAGCAGAATAAATGTTTTTTAAAATTAGTTTACATATACTATCCAGCCAATAAAGTCTAGGCCAGCCTCCTATTATAATAATTATGTTCATGTAGTTCTGCAACCATAAAGCCAGAGGTTCTGTGCATATTGATGAAAAAAAAAAGGCAAATACTATTATATATAAAGTAGATATAGTTTAAATGAATGTATCTACACATTCAACAACGTAAGTCTACCGCATTTAAATATGGTTTGCACACTATGGACAGAAAGCATCCATTTACTTAACACTCTTAGAGAGAATGTCTCTCATAATCTCCACTTTAGCACATTTCCCAATGAGGTGTTCTCCAACCCACATGGCCCTATAGATGTTCATATGTGTAGTCTCAAAGCTGCACATATGCTGCAGTATAATCTCAAAAAGGTTTGCCAAATCATTAACAATTATAGTTCAAGCAGACGTATATACAGAATCCACTTTTCAGTGGAGAATTTGTGGTTGCAATTTCTATTTCATCCCCACAAAATGTAGCTTTCAAATGCTTTCCTGGCATCCCGCCAACTAATATGAAGCCATCGTTTGGGGATCACTTTTGATTTTGCTGTGAAATATAAGAATCCTAAGAACTGTAATCAGCTCTGAGTGGAAAGGATCATATACTGTAATTTACACTATGTTACTGTAGTTGATCTCTGTAAATGGATTGCATTAATCTTGTGCTTTCATCCCAGGTGCTTCACAATTTGTTTCTCATTCATCCACTCATATACACTTACACACACCAATGGCAGGGAGCTACCACTGGGAGCAATTTGGAGTTCAGTGTGTTGCTTAAGGACACTTGGACACACAAACCACCAACTCTGTGATTAATGCTCCACCTGCTGAGCCACAGGCGCCTCTCTCAGTTTTACATTAGATTTTTAAGTCTTTTTTTTAAGAGTCTCGGGCCGCTGCTCTGAGCTTATGCATGATTTGTTTTGCCATAGCCTTACAATAATGAGTCATTTTTAAGCCATTATACATATTAGTGTACACATAGATTATCAACTCCATCTTGACTGATATAACATTTTTAGTTTGTTATGTTTCTTTTAAACTCCACATATTTTTTACACTAAAACCAAATGACTCCATGCAACATGAGAATACTTTTTATCTTTTTATATCTATAAAAATACTCTAAGGAATTTCTAGAAACGAAGCTTGAGCAAGAATTTAGAATTCTTTGATTAAATTATTATTAAGCTCCCTTGAGGAAAATTACATATTTTTTATGTCCGTAAACTAAGCTGTTGAGAGTCAAACCTTTTGTATATTAAAGCTAAAGTACTTCAAATAAGGAGCATAATAACATGATAGCAAGTTGATACAGTTTTTTCTGATACCAAAGATGAGCTTCAGTGTATGTTACAAAAAAATAGCTCAGTCCCATAGGTGTGTAAATATCTTTCATCCATTTTAAAGGTATGTGATAGCAGCAAACTTAAACTTTCCTGCTACCGACAGCGACGGGCCCTGAGAGAAGGGCAGTAGTAGTAGTCGGTTGGTGCAGCTGCTCAGTCATTTGCTTAGCTTAGCATAAATATTAACAAAATCCTCCTACATACATCTATAAAGCTCACTAATTACCATGTTATATCTTGTTTGTGAAATCCATATGAAAACTGATGTGTAAAAACAACAATGTGCTGTTTTTAAAGAGGGTTATGTGTTGGACAATTTCTTGGCTCTGAGCAGTTGCTGGGCAACCAGCAGAGACTCCAGGAAGTTACTGGTTCCAGCACATAACCATCTGTAAAATGGCAAAATTACATTTTTCCTTTGGTTTTTGTACCGATTTAATAAACGAGATGATTTACAGGTGCTGGTAGGTGGATTTTGTCACCATTTGACAGAGCCAAGATATCTGTCTGCAGTCTTTGTGCCAAGCTAAGCTAACTGGCAGCTGTCTGTATTTAATGGACAGATATGAAAGTGGTCCAAGAGATCTAACTCAGCACCAGAAGCCGATTGTTGCACATTCTCTATGCCAAAAAGATTTTTAAGGCTCCATTGCAGGTCCAAGCAGTGAAATGCAAGGGATTAGTTCAGTGAAACAGATACAGTATACCGTATAATGTAAGACAGATACACAGCCATGCTAGAATGGTAATCCACTAATTGTAGTCATTCTTACTGATGGTGTTATTGGTGTGATGTTTCAACCAAACTGGATTTTTTTCAAGCATGAAAACACCTAGCAGTTCTTTTCAACTAATTCCTTTCTCGTTTAATTTTTACACTGCACAGAGCACCTGGACAAAACAAGAGATCTGAATATCAGAGCACAGCCCCATAGAGAGATGGACAGCATAATGACTTTCTAAAAATTACCACAATGTGATTTCCTTGGAAATGAAACCGAAGTATATACCACAACTAATGTGAGATAAGGATCAAAGGAATGATTTTCTAAACTTTGTAGAGAGGACTGGGTTCGGACTAAGGCAGAAGTGCTGTTAAAAGCAAAGTGCTAAGACATATTCATTTTTTGCTTACTGGTGTGAAATGAGAAGAATTGGAGCTTATTTTTCAATACAGATATGGCTTATAACAATCTTGGACATTTTCTACTCTTCTAGATGTAGAATTGATGATTCACCTTAAGTTACAATAATGATCTGTTCCCAGTTTGATAGGCAGCAGGCTCTTAGTTCCAAAGACAATGGATCAAGAACTATTGACATAGAGATTACAATGTCGTTCAGTGCAGCACTTTCCAGACTAAAATATCTCATCTAAACTATTTGCCGTGACATTTTCTTCAGACATTCATGTTTCCCACAGGATGAATTGTAATAACTTTGGTGATCCCCTTGCCTTTCATCTAACACTATCATCAGGTCAAAATCTTATTTTGTCCAACACTTTGGATTCTGACAAAAGCTACAAAGCTGAAGACATTCACATCAGCCTCAGTGATATCCTGTGTTTAGTGCCAATGAGCAAATGTTAGCATGCTATTACACTAAGTTAAGATGGTGATTATTGTAAAGTTTATAACTGCTCATCAAACATCAGCATAATAGCAGTGTAAGCACGTGTTAGCAAGTTAGCACTGAGCTCAAAGCACTGCCTTTGGTGGGAGGTTTTTACCATGGGCCAAGGAGTAAATAATTTGTTTTAGGTGCTGAATACATCACCATGTGGCCATTTACAAACTGCTTAATGATTTGGCTTGCAACCAAATTTTGGTGATTGTACACATCCAAAGTGAAAGCAAAATCTGAATTAATTTTTGAGCTGATGATCAGTATGACCATCTCCGACAGGCTTCAAAAATCTTGACACCATTACTTAATCAGCAGTGAAAATTTCTAAACATTTTCTATTGATCATCTAGTATCGAGTATATTCCTATCTTCTTATCATTCTTATTATCCTTGATATTTGAGGGTCACAAACGCAACTTTACAGATTAAAGAAGCTATACTTATTATTATTTAACACCATCTTATGACATGCTATACTCAGGGACATCCCTTCCTTGCAGCTCTGCAAACCTTCAGAGGAAAAACAGTGAATGCAACAGAGGCCAAAAGCAGTTGTGTCCTCACCTGCAGCCTACAGTAGCACAGTACTGCGATGATAAGGAGTAATATAACAGTAGCTAGAATTCCACCAGTGATGACCACTGTCCCGGCTGTCATTCGAATGGCTCTCCATCAACACCCTGCAGAAAGCAAGAGGGGGGAAGGGTGGAAAGAGAAGAACAGAGAGAGAAAGAAAGAGTAGAGGAGGGTATAGGTGATGAAAAGAAGAAATGGCAGAAGATAAAGCACACAATTCATCAGTACGATGGCTTCATTAAGTAGATTATAACTGTGTGTCATCTCAGTGGTGCTTATTGAATTATCCAGCAGTTAGGAGACATGTAATAAAATCACTCCTACAAATGCTGCTCATAATATAGACGGTATAGCAGGCTGGAACACATAGAAAAAAGAAATGTGAGAGAAAGGGAAAACAGCATTCAACAGCAGAAGAGCAAAAAAAAAGAAAAAAAAATTAGTTGCAAAAATGACAGGAGGGCGAAGAGATAAATGGATGGTGGGAATGAGGAGAGTTAAAGTGACTGAGGCAGGTGAGAGAAACAAAGATGGAGTGAGCAGTGAATTGATGTGGAGCGATAGGGAAAAAGAGGTCAAGACTGACTAAGTTATAGGCACAGAAAGGGCATTTGATGAATGGATATGAAATGAAAAGACAAAATGATGGAGTGGACAAAGAAGGTGATGTGAGAGACGGATGGGGAGGATGTAACATAAACAGGATACACGGAAATGAAGAGGAGTGGATGGGTGAAAGAGGAAATAAAGATGGAATTGTGGCAAAAGAAAACAGGGTGATTGGGTAACTAAAAAGAAAGAAAAGAAGAGAGATTTTGCAGAGATTTTGTGTTGTGAAATCTTCAAGCTAAGCCCATAGTTGAAAACAGTCAAAAAATAGATTTTTATGTGTGCACCCAGGACTCACAAATGCCTAATCAGAGATTTCCGTTCATACACACTGCTTAAACATTTAACATATTCAGTCACTCCTGATATGAAATATTACTCTAAGTATTATTTTCTAAAAACCTTGGGAGAGCACAACTTTTGCAATAGTGGAAGAAATAAGTCTACAAACACAACAGTTTAAAACACCTAAATGTCGTCTTTGTATTAATACCAGCCCACTTGGAACACAATAATACAATACAAAAAACAAAATACTTCAAGTTACAAAAACCTTGAAAACCCCAAAAATTATACATATAGTCCAGAGTGCTTGGTGTCACAGTTGATACTCAGTGATGTATGGTTCACTATTATGCACATCTGCTTTACAATATACCAGGACACTGACTGGAGATCTCATGGGCAGCTATATAACAAGTATAGGTGGAGCGAAATCCTTGGTAGTGGTTACGCATTTGCACTCCTGAGAGGGTTTTCAAAGTCACAATGAAACAGCACTTTAAGAGTATTGCTTCCTTAATCAGATGAATCTCCTGATGAAGCAGGAAGTATTTCAAAGTCTAGACCAAGGGGAATATCAGATGAAGGAGAGAAAACAACAATCTTATATGATAGGATAGGATGACATGTAATATTTGCAAACAAGGTGACAAAGATGTTTTTTCATTTTGCTGTGAATAAAGTGAGGCGTTGCGCAAGGCAGACAGAGAGAAAGGTTGTGACCTTCTTTGCATCAATCAGGAAGACACATCCAACTGGAAAGCTGTGTGTGTGTGTGTGTGTGACGTGTGAACTCTGACCTTAAATCAGAGCTCACAACAAACACAAATGGCGATGATGATCCACCCTTCTCATTGTTTTTCAAATTGCCATAGATTGTGTAGCTGTGACTTTAGCATGCCGTCTTTTGTGTGATTCACAAAACCTAAGCCACGATGTACAGGTCTACATGAGACTATTTTATTTTGTTGATTCTTTCAATTCACGTAGTTGATATTTGTTACAGTTTAAATAATAAAAAATAACATGAACATAGAAATGACTGCGGGTGAATATTACATGTCATAAGAACATTTGCAGCAGAACGACTGATTGAGACTGAACTGACCTCATTCTCAGTTCATTAGATCAATGCTTCCCTTTAATTACCTCTTTTCAGTCTCTACAGCAGCTGGATTACCGGAAGAAGCCTTGAGCCTAGAGGCTTTAAATATTCATTTTACCCTTGAAAGTAATGTGCATTAATCACAAACACTGTATTGTCATTCAAATTGTCAGAATTCCTATGTTCTGCCTTACCTTCACTGTAAAGCAGTATTTGAGGCTGTAACATAACTGAGGAGTTTGATCCCTGCAGTAGTGTGCCCATCAACAATACTCTGAACGGTACCTGCTCACTCATAGTATAATCTGCTACATGACAAGAGCAGTTAAAAAGGAACCCCACCGTAAATCCTGGATATGCATCGCTGCACTGACCTCAGTGGTTCAACATCACACTTGACTATGGTCAGGTGGTGAGTGTGATACTTGTGATAACACGTAACTGTACTGTAGCGTGTTTAGATGCGCAATTATCCCGGTTATTATTACTTATATTATCATGGTTCTGTTTTTCGCATATAAACACCTTATGCTGGTTTTGAGAAACCTGGAAATTCTATCTGGTGGTTTCACATTTTATTTATTTGATTTCGTGTGACCTCAATCTTAGTATTTATATTACATATTGCACATTCTGAATAATAATTTTGAACAGTATAAAAGCTTGAGTATTCTACAAGGCTCTTTGCTGCAACAGCCATGAGTTTGAATCTGACCGGTGGCCCTTTGCTGCACGTCACCCCCTCTCTCTCTACCCTTTTTTCTGTCTTTCTTGAGCTGTCCTATCTAATAAAGACACACACACACACACAAATACAAAAAAGTTCATCCATAACTTAAAGGACAATTCCGGCG